AGCCAGGAGGCAGAAGCAAGCTCTCAGCACACAGGGAGAACTGGCCCACCCTCCCATCACAGCCTCTGCTCAGGGCTGGGCCATGGAGGGAGCCGTGTAGGTCTGGAAGCGCTTGTGGGCTTGCTGGTGAGTGAGCAGTCTCAGAGACATGGTGTCCACAGCTGCTTCCAGCCCTGGCTGTTGGCTGATCTCCACCGTGTAGTCATTGACCAGCTGCAGGGAGGCCAGCATGGAGCGACACACCTCAAAGGCAGGCTGGCCTGTCACCAGCTCTGCAAAGGGATACCACTTGTTGAGCTGGGGGAATCGTGAGATCACCTGGTCCCCGTATGTGTGGATATCAAAGGGCACATGCTGCTCCTGTTCCAGGAGCAGGGGTTGGATGGTGTCTTCCCAGTCCCTGATGCGCTGGCTTAGCTCTGTCTCCTGGACAAACTTCTGGGAGTTGGTGATGAAGAGCTCCAGATGAAGAGCTCCACATTCCTTGGAACCAGCTCCTCGTAGTTCAGGGACTCTGGCATGGCCTCTGCCTCCAGGTCAGCAGCCTCCAAGTGAGTTGAAATTTCAATGTGGTTTTGATTTGTGTTTCCTTGACGGCCGCAGATGAAAACTTTTTAAAATATATTTGTTGGTCACTTGTATTTTTTCTTTTGAGAACAAATAGTTCATTTGTCCATATATTGATTAGGTTATTTTTTTTTATGGGGATTGGTGTTTCTTGAGTTGTTTATATATTCTGGGTAGTAATACTCTGTTGGAAGAGTTGCTGGCAAAGATTTTCTCCCATTCTGTAGACTTTTTTCTTCATGCTCTTATTTTATGGAAAATAATTTAAAAATGTTTTACCATATGTTATTGATCTGTTGTGTTTATCTAATTTTGCTTTTATTTCCAGCTGACTGTACTTCCTCTAAAAGCTGTGGGTAAGGCAAGGCAGTTCAAATATAGTTCCTCATAAACAAAAGGGAAACATAACTTAAGAATGACAAAACCAAAATCAAAATACCTTTTTTTTTCTTGTTTTATTAGGGATGGAACATAGTCCTTTGCACTTGCTAAGCAAGCACTTTATCACTGAGCTACATCCACATTTAAAAAATTTTTGAGACAAATTCTAAGTTGCTCAGACTGGCCTCAAACTTGAAATCTTCCTATCAGTCTCCAAGTATTTGGGATTATAGGTATGCACCACCATGTAAGCCAATATATTCTTTTTGATAATTTGTTTATCTCTTAAAATGTTTGAGTAAATAAAGTGATTAATTTCATAATTTTGTTTTAATTTCATGTAATAATCATTATATTGGACCCCGAATATAACCTATGGTAAGTCTCAATTGGTTAAAATGTATTAAGTATTCCATTAATTTCATTTCCTGTTCCAATCCACCAATCCATGATTCCTTTTACTTCTTTCTTATTTTAGGCTTCTTATGTCCTTGTTCACATGTCCTTTTTCTTGATTTATTCTTCATTTAGGTAGAACACATGTTCCATTAGCTCCCAGTGAAAGAATGCATGGAATGTTGAAACTTTGTTTGAAAATTAATTTCATAATTGGTTGATAGATTGGCTTGGTTTAGAATTCTAATGTAAGTAATTTTTCTTCAGAATTTTAAAGTATTGATCCATTAATTTTTCTTCAGAATTTTAAAGTATTGATCCTGTAACTTCCATAGTTCCTATTGAAAAGTCTAATACATTGACCATTTTTTTCAATAACTTTATTTATTTTGGTTGATCCCAGAGTGTGTGTTTTATGATCTTTTCCCCCATATTGTATTTACTTTGTATGTACCACATAAAACCAATTTTTTCTCTCCCCATAAACAGTACAAGTTTCTCTTGGTCTTTGTAGGATAGAATAAAAGGGAGAAGGGAGATACAAAAGAATTCCTGAAGCCTATATGGGGTCTTAAGTATATTATACTTATCATGATCTTAATTAGGTACTCAATACAAGATTAGTGTTTGATATATTAGCCATTACATTGACCTTGCAGCCCTAAATCAACCACCATACAAAACAAAATGAGTTTTTTAAAGAGAGAGTTTAAATAGTAAACATGAATAAAACCAGAATTTGTTGTCATAAGGTAGTTAGGTAAACCTGTCATTTTTATTTACAACAATAATTTCATGATCTTTTGTTTGCTAAGAAGGGAGAGTTGTGGAAATGCAAAACAAATTAAAAATATGAATGAAACAGGATTTAAATTTTAAAGTAAAGTATATCTAAGAAAATATTCCCTAATGCACAATAAGGATTTTTTTTTTATTAGTGTGGTTAGGAACTATCTCCTTTTAACATAGATCATATTCTACAACAGAAGAAACTAATGTATGATCTGCACTTTTTACAATTTTAAGGCAAAACTTTATCCACATAGATTCCATTAGCTACCTTTCTTCTAATTGAAATATCAAACCCAAATATCCACACATACTGCTAAGGGGAAACCAGACACACATACACGAAAACTACATACTGTATAATTCCTTTATATTAAGTTCAAAAACATACTAAGCAAAACAGAACTGCAGTGGTGGTGGCGGTGAACGGCACAAGGAAGCCTCTTGGGTGTTGGACAGACATATTGTATATATTGACACAGCTGGTGGTTACATTGAATTGTACACTTGGCCCTTGAGCATTTATTTTTTACTATGTCTCTAAATTGAGGTTATCTGTTTTCAAGTTTCTTAGGAAAAGAAACTCTTAGAAACCTTAAGAACATCATTCAACACAGCATGTTTTGCCCTTGTTGAGATGACAAAGCCTCTGATTGACAGGGGAAAACAAATACTTAATGGCATTTTCCAAGCTTATCTTCCCTTAAACCACCCTATTTCTAGCCTACCCCTACACCTGAACCACCTTCCCAGAGATGCCTCTTATCTGACCTGCAGAGATTAAATGATAACAACCAATCCAGTTGGCAAGGGTGTTTGAGTCGAGTTCCATCATTTTCAGGTTAAATAAGCTTTCAAGTTCCTTCTCTCAAACCAAAAGTAAACTCCCAAAAGTAAATAATAATGTAAAAACCAATCTTTCAATCATCACTTTGTATATCATCATTTATATTACCTTAGCTAGTGAATGGGAGGAATCTGCCTTTAAACATCTTTGTGGAATTTCCACTGTAATTTTGACAGTTTTGAACAGGTTAAAACTGTGTGTGTGTGTGTGTGTGTGTGTGTATAATGTTAAAGCTAATATATATTGTAACGGGTTAAAACTATATATTATAATTTATAACGTATGTATATTAATATACATATGTAATGTAATAAAAATATGCGTGTGTATTATATATATTTTTAACCTGTATACATATACACATAACTGTATATAGATGTATGTGTGTATTAGTGAAAGATAATCACAGACTTTAAACAGTCCAGAGAATGAAAGGTCCCTTTATAAGAAAAATTCTTAGCCAAGCATGATGGCAAATGACTGTAAAATCAGCAACTCAGGAGGATGATGCTGCAGGATTGCAAGTTCCAGGCTAGCTAGACTGGGCAACTTAGCAAGATCCTGTCTCAAAATAAAACATAAAATGGCTGGGGATGTGCCTCAGTGATAGAGCGTCCCTTTGGGGGGGGGGGGAATTCCTTCCCTTTAAAATAAAAGTAAAATACCACGGAGAAGGGAGAAAAAAGTATTTCTTACAACCGGTTGTTCCATTAATTCATGAAAAAATGAAATACTGTTTTATACAATACCGACTTGCAGTTCTTTGGTATTGTATGTTGTTGATCCGATGAAGAACTGCAAATAATGAGGAACGATATTAAGATATTACATCATGCACCCAACAAGCGCATTTCTTTGGATATTTTGACTTCGGCCAAAATACGAAACAAAGTAATGACAAGGAAGATGTTTCAAAGGACTGCAGATGTCTCTTTCCACCCTTCAAATCTTTTTTAGATATTAGTAAAAATAGGCAACATTTAAGACCACGAATACTTCAGATTTTGGCAGAAGTCCGTTATAGTCTTTAACGACTTGTCTTAAGTGTTTTAGTTGACCTAAGAACTGATCTGCAGATGGAACTAAAAATACATGAAGAATGACTATTACAGGTCTTGTGGAAAAGACAAAGACCTTAGAACTCTGGAGCAGGTTTGCATTAAGTTGCGGAGGTGCAGAACTGTAAGCAGTTGTCGGGTGGGATAGAGTATTTTAATTTTTCTGTTTTTCGAAGAACCAGCCTTGTAGGGTGAGGCAACAGGATTGGGCACCGTAGGGCGAGGTGGGGGTGCTCTGGTATTTAATCTATCATGGGAAGAAGGGGCCGAAACAAAGACGGCATGAGAAACTCACTTTTGCAAAGCACTTTCTGGTTTGAGAAAGCACTCTCACATGCTTTAATTTCATAGCACGCGACACCTTACCTGCGGACCTCCAGGGTCTACAAATGTAAGAGGCCCAAAGAGAGGGGACTCTTTGAAATCGAGATTCTAAGGAGCGCCTCACTACCCACGCGTTCCCGCGACTAGGGAGCGCCGCGCCCGCACGTCACTCGCCCACTACCAATCGGCGCCGGGCGGGTCACCTCTTTTCCCGGGGCCCCTCCGCCCCGCCCGCGCTTCGACTCAGGCCGTGAGCGCCCGCCGGCCGCTTCCGTTCTCGGCGCAGGCGCGGCAGCCCAGCCGGAGTGCGGAGGGGGCTCGGAGAGGAGCTGACGCCGCTGGCCAGGATGGTACTTGAGAGCGTGGCCCGCATCGTGAAGGTGCAGCTCCCGGCTTATCTTAAGCGGCTCCCAGTCCCGGAGAGCATTACCGGCTTCGCCCGGCTCACAGGTAACCCTCCCCATCAGCCAGTCCCCATCCTTACAAGCTCCCCCCGCGAGAGGGGGGAGGGGGAGAAGTGTAGAAACCCCCGTGCTAGAGGCGGGGCGAAGCTGGCGGAGCGGCACGTGATCGCGTGACCCTGCCTGCGCCGGCGCAGCAGCGTCTGGAGCTTCAGCGGGGCCGCGTCTAGGTACTTGATGGCCGGTTCTTGTGACCCGGTTGTCTTCGGTGTCCTCCTGTGGCTAGAGCCGAGGCTTTACTGAAAATGCTGAGTCAGGAGAGCGCCAGTCTCATTCCCTGCGCTACTCATCCATCGCTCTCTGCAGTGTCCTTTGTTTCAACCGGGTTTAAGTCATCGTTATCCGAGGCGCTGTGTTAACGGGCGGCTTCGGCTCTCTCCGAGCGTGTGGGTGGAAGCGAGTGATGGGAGATAAGTACAGGCATCCATGTAATTGTTTCACTTAGTGATGAAATTATGAAATGACCTCCATCCCAAAGGGTAGAGTTGACCTATCCTGGGGGCGTTTGAGGTCACTTCCATTACTACAGTCTTGGGAGCAGTTGGGGTAACTTGAGTTGGAGGAAATATGCCTTAGCTAGAAAGTGTTCGAAGGCTGGTGTGACTGGATGACAGCCTTTCAGTTAATTTTTTTATGTCTAAAAGAGACTTTTAAAAAATCCCATTTTCTTCAATGAAAATTAGAAGCAAAAAACTTTAAAAGTTTCCATTATTGTTGCTTGTAATCTTTCTGTTTAGCTCTAACAGGTTTTAGAAGCAATTAGCTCTCTCATGATGACTCTGCATTCTTAGAAAACATATGGACTTCCTTAATTACCACTTACAATTTACAGACAATTCTTATCTATCAGCAGCAACCCATCTTTATGTTACATTTTTCAAGAGTAATGCTTTAAGACATTAAGTGTGGTACTGCCCTTTGGAAGTACAGTATATTCCAATACCTTGATTTTTAAAAACATATTCTTTTCATCACGTAAACCTTTGAAATAGAACTGCAACAATAAAATAGTCCCATTCAAAAGTCAGAAAACATCATATTTCCAGTTTACAAGCTAGCTATGAAACTTACAAATTTTACTCTTAAACCAGTGGGGACTTTAGTAACATTTCCTAGGGTAACACAAATAGATGAGTGAACAAATGTAAAATCATTAGTGTTATTTATACAGAAGGGGCCATTGAACAGTGTTTTTTTTTTTTTTTAATAGTTGTAAATGGACAGCTTGCCTTTATTTTACTTTTATGCGGTGCTAAGGATTGAATCCAGTGCCTCACACATGCTGGGCAAGCACTCTGCCACTGAGCGGAAGTGAAAGAGTTGAAAACATACAGCCATAAAAGTTTCATATGTGTGTATGTTCATTGTAGCCTTATTTATAAAACCCCCTGAATTGGAAGCAGCCAAGTATCTACCAAAAGAAAAGTGGTAAACAAATTATGATACATAAAAAGGAACGAATTCCTGATCCACTGTATGAGTTTCAAAAACTTCCTGATGTGTGAAAGCTGTGATTGTGGAAATATGTGTTGGAGGAGTAGAAAAGTGCAAGAGAATACTTTCTAGGGAGATGGAAATATTTTTCATATTTTTATGCAAATATTTTCACACATTTTCAGTGGAGGCTAGAGGGATGCATTGTCACAACACAGAGCTAACCACTGTTATTTTATGTAACTTATACCTCTATTTATTTAAAAAGAAAGTGGAACAAATGTGAAAGCATAAAAGATCATTAAGTTCAAACAAAAGAATTGAGTTTCACTTATTTACATGTAAATAATAAAGGTTGTTTCTGAAAGGCCAGAGTTTTATTTTAGGAAGTTTTTTGAGAATTTGGGAAAATACTTATATGATTACTGTTATAAAAGTTTTCTTTTCGGGCTGGGCTTGTAGTTCAGTGGTAGAGCACTTGCCTTGCACCTGTGAGGCAGTGGGTTAAATCCTCAGCACCACATAAAAATAAATAAAGGTATTGTATTCATCATAACTTAATTTTTTTTTTTTTTTTTTAAGTTTTCTTTCCTCTCTAATTAGTCTGTATTTAAAAGTCAGTGTAATTGTATTGGCCCTTATGGAGAACAGTTTGGATCTCATTTAAACATTCTTCCATATAATTATTTTGCAATTTAAAACTCCTCAAGTCATTAAGTATTTATTGAGCATCTATTGTGGGCCAGGCAGTGTTCTAGAAACTAAGACACTGTTTTATTCATAATAGAAGGAAACAGATTTTTAAATTGATCATTTATTTTACTAACTCTTTATCCTAACATAGTTTATATTAGGTTTCAAGTGATAATAGTAAAGTCATTCAGTGATAGTATTTTACTTACATCTCTTTTACAGTTAAGAAATAGAAATCATTTCTGTGTCTTAGCTGTAAATTATACACAAAAAAGCCATAAAATCAACATCAACCAAGTTGTCAATATTATTTTTATGGTAATCTTTTGCAAATCTGAAATGGGAAACAAATTGTCCTGGTTTCTTAGAATATCATTTCTCATTGAGATCCAGATATGTCTATGTGTACTTTTAAAAGTCTTTTTAATAATAAGAGTTGGGGACATGTTTTTATAATAATATTTGTGGCTCAGTAGTAATGCTTGGCATGCTTGAGGCCCTTGGTTCAATCCTTAGCACCAAAAAAAAAAAAAAAAAAGTATTTGTTTTTATAGCTTAATCAGGAATAAGGGTGTTAGAGCTAGTGTATGTCACTATATAAAAGGTTGAATCTGCCCCTTCTGAAACCTAATTCTTTGGCTTAAGGAGATAATTTCTTTCAACAGTTTGAGAAAATTGATGTTAAATTGAGTGCTATTCTACCATAAATCTGTCTGACTTGAGAAAAAATTAATTTTTTAGATCAGGTATTTAGAAATGTAATTTCTGTAGAGTAAGATATGCACATTTGTACTTTTAATCAACATTCCTTGATTGACCTCCAAAAGGACAGTGTATAATAGTTTCTGTATCTCCATGAACCAGAGAAAATGTCGATATTATTGAATGTTAAAAACAACCATTTTATGAATAAAACATTTCATCACATGAAAAACAAAATTGCTTGCTATTCAAGTTACTTTGACATGTTTTTCCTGTCTTGATTTTGTTTCTCTGATGGTATTCTGGTTCTTTTACCTTGTTAGTCTTGTTGTTGTTTATTAAATAGTAGGTTATAGAAGTTTCATATAAATGTTAGGACACTTGTAATAATATTAGAAACACTAATATTAATTACACTTGTAATGTTAATATTAGAAACAGGTGATCTTCATATAAAGTAAGAAAGTCTATTGGAAGTGAAATATTTAATAAAATTTAAGAAGACTCAACCCTTTTACATTCAAATGAGTAAACAAAATGCTGCCTAACTGGGTGCTTTTAAAATGGATTAAATGTTGAGATTAGCTAGTTTCATCTATGTCACTTAGTTGTCAAAAATGCATCTCTCCCCAACCTCTAATCATCTTTCAGATTTTCATCTTCTCGTCCTGGCTTGTCTCCTAAATCCTTGGTACTTCTCATAGAGGCACTACCTTGATATAAGTGAAACAAAACTCACCTGAGTAAACCACTTAACTTGTAGCTCTTGGAGTGTTCTCTTTTTATCCTTTTCTCTGGAGAGAGCAGAGAATTGCCATTTTTCTGGCTTTTGCTCAATTTCTTTGTAGAAAATATCTTCACCCTTTCAAAGAAAGCTCTGTCTTCTTTTAAAGCCTCTGCCATTCATCAGTGCAGTATTACCTCCTTACTTTTTTGTTGCTATTTGTGGACCATTAGTCTCTCCCTTATGTTCTTTAACCCATTTTTTTGCCTATCATCCCAGATCTGGAATACCTATAAAAAGCTGAATATAGTGTATAATATAATCATATAATATATAATTATATAAAGTAAGAATATAATCAAAATATACTAATATTTACATGTGTATGCTAGATTATGATCTTCAGTTTATTTTAATGCACTTGTGTAAATTTCATCAAAATGTTAACATGAAATCTTGGGACTTAATGGATTAAGGATGCTGACGCATCGTTTTCCCCTTTTTTGTACGTCTCCTGCACTCTCTCCCCCTGTTTAAAGCCACCTTTCTTATATATTTGGGGATGGGTTGTTTTTATTAGAGATCACCATCTATCTATGAAATGAAAGGATCTTTACTTCCTCCATTTATCTCATGCCCCATAACTAAACCAAAGCCTATTGATTTTACTACTTGAGTTAGTGGTTCTTAAATTTTGTGTTGATAATAGATCTATTCTTGGTGAATATCTTGAGATATCTATATCTTGAGATTTTGATGAAAGCTATGTGTCTATCCTCAGAAAATGTGCACACACACAATTGTTCAAGGGAATCCCAATAGATAGTTTCTTACAGTTTGTACTCTCTTCTCTGCTTTAATGTGCAGTACCCTAGTTTCAGCTGGGATCATTTTTTTCTGGGCTATTTCACTGTATTTCTAATAAGTTGTCTTGCCTCTTGTTTTCCTACCATCATCCCTCTCTGTTCTTCCTTATGCCCATCCTCTTATCTTCCAACAGATACCAGCTTAATTTCATTAATGAATCATTTTCCAAGTAAATTAATATTTAAATATGTCTGTGGTTTCCTATTATGCATGGAATAGATTCCCGATTATCTGATGCATATCAGAAATTTTCATCACATGGCACCTGCTGGGTGCCAAACACCTCTTGGGTTTCATTGTATTCCAGCAATACCATGGCAGTTAGTTTTCCAAACCTTTCATGACTGTCATCTATGTGCCTTTGCCAATGCTATTTCCTTTGCATAGAATGTAACTCCTCCTTTCATTTGCGTATGAGCTTCTGTAATCTTACTCATCTTTCAGAAACCTGGTTGTCAAAACCAATAAAGTTTTTGTTCATTTTAGCAAGCAATGAATTACTCATTTCTTCCTCTGTATCTTATATATGATTGCCACATTACACAGTACTGTAATCCTTTTTTTTGGAGGGGTACAGGGATTGAACTCAGGGGCTCTCAACCACTGAGCTGCATCTCCAACCCTTTATTGTATTATTATTTTTTTTAGAGACAGGGTCTAATTGAGTTTCTTAGTGCTTTGCTGAGTTGCTGAGGCTGGCTTTGAACTCATGATCTTCCTGTCTCAGCCTCCTGAGTTGCTGGGATTATAGGCATTTGCCACCTTGCCTGGCCTGTAATCCTTTTTAGTAGGTTTGTATTTCATAGAGGATGGACAACTCCTTTGTGATAGGATTGTATCTGTAATTTTGTATCTTTAATACTGTCACATTACTGTCCATGTTCATGAGGTTTTATAGTTTTAGAGGGTATATACTTTTGGACTTACACCACTTCAAAAAGTAGATTTCACTCAGACTGTTTTATAAGTTATTACTTTATTGTAGGAGATAATAGCACCTCTTATTATATTATTTTAGAGCAGTGTTTTACCAAGGAATTACATGTTCAACATTTTGTGAAGTAGATTTTAAAACAATTAATACTATTTGTTCCCTGAGATTTGTGGATTAAGATTAAAAGAGCTATATTTAAGAGTCCAAAGTTAAGATTTTCATCTTTACATTCTTATTCATTTGCTTTTTGACAGTTTAGCCTCTTGTAACTTTCTTATAATATGTAGAATAATATTTAGTGATATTCTACATTCAACAAACATTTATTGCATGACCACCAATTCAACATCTGCATTGGATGAGGGGGACAGTTGTAACCTAAAACATTGATTGCTGATCTAGAAGTTAAGTGTAAGTAAAAATTATAAATCAGTACCATGAGTGAGAAAGGGACTGACATTGTGCTCTTCCTTCATTCAGTAAGCCACTTATTAACATAGATAAGGCATCCACTTTGGGCTAAGAACATGGCTCCTTTCCTCTCCAGGTTTATATAAAGAGACAACTTTAGACACAAAGTAGTGTGATTGCAGAAATATGAAGAAAGGTGCTTGGAAGCATAGGAGGAAGTGATTGATTCTATGTTGTGAAACCAAAGAAGTCTTCTGGAAGAGGTAATATTTGAACCTAGTCTTACCATATAAATAGGTAAATGAGAGGTAGAAGCATTTTTGTAGAAGAAACTCCATCTGCAAAGACTGCTATTAGGCAATAACTTTGGCTGGCTTCGGGTGTGTGAGGGAGGGGATGTTTGGTGAGAATTGAAGCTGGGAAAGTAGTCTTGCCGTGCTATGGAGTTGGAAATTTAATGGAACTATTTAAAACAATGCTGTTTTTAAAAAAGTTTGTGGTGATGGAAATGTTCTCTGTGCTATTTATTATGGTAGTCAATGATTATATGTAGATATTGAGCTCCTGAAAGGTGTCCATGTGTCTTAGAAGTTGAATGTGTATAGTAATCATGTTTTTTTTTTTTAATTTTTTCTATATTTTATGAGACCTTGACATTTTGGGGACCTTGCTGTCCGTGAAAAGTCTGTCTCTCCCAGGCAGAGTATTAGAGTCTGCCTCTATCTAATTCCTAGAGATATTAAACAATTTGCCTCAGAGAAAACTTAGCATATGTTAACCAACCAATCCAAAACTTACCATATGTTACTCCCAACCACCTCCTTTATCTAACTCCTTCACATTAAGCCAGTATTTCCCCTTCCCTAAATCACCCTGGGAATAGATAAGAGACTACTAAAAACCACTCCTTTTGCCTGGAATCCACTAAAATGATTCCAGCTAGTCAGTAGAAGCTGTTTACCCTGTCCTGCCTTGCCTTTTCCATGGAAACCACAGTAAAGGCATGTGCCCTGCCCTCGTTTTTTTCCCCCATCTCTTCCTCCCTCTAAGCCAACTCTGGTACTTCCCCATTTTGCCACCTCTTCTTGAAAACTCAAGGCAGTTGTGTACATGATTACCATACTTGCTTAAAATGTTAGATACAAATCAAAACAAGGTGGTGGCTAATGGCTAACATATTAGACAGCACAGATCTATACAAAGATTCTAACCCCAAGAAACAGTTCTATTTCATGCACAGAACTTTAGTTCATTAAATAATCTTCATGGGGTGTCTCCTTTTTGGTTATGAGACTGTAGCAGCTAATGAGAAGACAAGGTTCTTACCCTTACAGAGCTTCATTCTGGTAACTAACAGATTACATCTCCAATTCTACCATAGAGCATTGCCAAGTTTATTTGGCAGAATGTTTTTTTTCAAAGGAGTTGCTCCTGCTTCCTCTCCAGTCTCTGCAATCACTTTTCAAACTGACATTTATTGTGTATCTTCTCTGTACCAAGCAATATCATATAGATGGTATGTATGTAGGTTTCATTTAGATCTCTTTGGCATGGCGCTATATCAAAATTTCATTTTGGAAGTATCAGTATTAGCCAATGTTTCTTTCAGTAGTTAAATAGTAAGAAAATTGAGAGTAGTTTTTACCAAGAGAGAAATTGATTTAATTTTATATCTGTTGGATTTGATTCACAATGATTTAAAACAAGTTTTGGATTTAGATTGTTCTGGACTAAGCCTGCTAAGCTACAGTTTACCCACATGTAAAATGGGAATAATAATGTTACAATTAAATAGTTAAATAATAAATAGTGTTTAATGAGTTAGTACAGTTGTATTCTTAACATAGTCTGTTTATTTATCATTAATATTTATTAGCATATTTATTAGCATTTCTTGGCACATAATCCTGTTTTTCTCTTAACTAGGATATTTCTGTATAGTGCCTAGTAAGATAGGCACTCAGTGAAAGAAATTAAATATAACTCATCAGGAGGGGCTGGGTTGTGGCTCAGTGGTAGAGCACTTGCCTAGCATGTGTGAGCCTTGGGTTCGAGTCTCAGTACCGCATATAAATAAAATAAAGGTCCAGTTACAACTAAAATAAATATATATTTAAAAAAATATAACTCATCAGGAACAAAAAGGATTCCCTGTAGAATATTAGCAGGCTTTTGATAATTGTGTGCTGAAATGTTTGTCTTGGTTTCCTTATATGTTTATCTCCACAGGCATAGAGAACCATTTTCATTTAGATCACTTGTTATATTCCCTGTCTTCTTTTTTTTTTTCCATATTTAATTTTCTTTTTAAAAATTTTTAAAAATCTATTCTACTCAGTTATACATGACAGTAGAGTGCATTTTCATTTATTGTACACAAATGGAGCACAACTTTTCAATTCTCTGGTTGTACATGAAATAAAGTCGCACCATTTTCATGCAATCATACATGTACCTTAGGGTAATAATGTCCATCTCATTCCACCATCTTTCCTGCCCCATCCCCCCCCCACACACACACTCTTTGCCCAATCCAAAGTTCCTCCATTCTTCCTATGCTCCCTCCTCCCCAATTATTGGTCATTGATTGGGTTTTTTGTTTTTTGTTTTTTTTTTTTTTTTTTTTTTTTAGTTCTTTATATATCCTGGAGATTAGTGCTCTATCTGTGTGTGTGGTAAACATATTCTCCCATTCTTAGTCAGAGAAACATTTGGCTTTTGGAGATTGGCTTACTTCGCTTAGCATGATATTCTCCAACTCCATCCATTTACCTGCAAACGCCATAGTTTTATTCTCTTTTAATGCTGAGTAATATTTCATTTTTTTTATCCATTAATCTGTTGAAGTGCATTTAGGTTGGTTCTGCAGTTTAGCTATTGTGAATTGAGCTGCTATAAACATTGATGTGGCTGTGCTACTATAGTATGCTGATTTTAAGTCCTTTGGGTATAGACTGAGGAATGGGATAGCTGGGTCAAGTGATGGTTCCATTCCCAGATTTCCAAGGAATCTTCATACTACTTTCCAGAGTGGTTGCATCAATTTGCAGTCCCACCAGCAATGTATGAGTGTGTCTTTTCCCCCACATCCTTGCCAACCCCTATTATTGCTTGTATTCTTGATAATTGCCATTCTGACTGGCATGAGATGAAATCTTAGAGTAGTTTTGAGTTGCCTTTCTCTCATTGCTAAAGATGTTGCATTTTTTTTTTTATATATTTGTTGATTGCTTATATATCTTCTGAGATGTGTCTGTTCACCTCCTTAGCCCATTTATTGATTGAGTTATTTGGTTTTTTTGGTGTTAAGATTTTTGAGTTCTTTATATATCCTGGAGATTAGTGCTCTATCTGATGTGTGTGTAGTAAAGATATTCTCCCACTCTATAGGCTGTCTTCATGTCATTGTTTCTTTTGCTAAGAAGAAGCTTTTTAGTTTGAATCCATCCTAGTTATTGATACTTTATTGTTATTTTATTTCTTGCACTTTAGGAGACTTGTTACGGAAGTTGGGGCCTAATCCAACATGATAAAGATTTGGGATAATCCCCTGTCTTAAGACAGGCTAGGTACTCCAAAGACATTTAATGAACACTTAACAGAATGAAATGCATCTTAAAATGAGAACATTGAATATATGCAAGTTTTAATTCATTAAGATAGTGTATTTTACATAACATTTTGGTATTCTTCAGAAACATTTACCCAAGAAAGTAAGTTGAAGCATTTGAAGATACTCCTAATCTAAAATTATAAATCAGAGGTAAAAATTTTATGAATATTGTTATATGATTTTAAACATGGTATTAAGGAGAGAAGAATGAAAATGTTTTCTAAACTTAAATGTATCACACTGAGTTTTATTTATAATTATGATTAATGTAATTCCTGATAAAAGTAAAGACAAACACAAATATACTTAATGGGTACAATGAGAGGACATTTAAAATAGGTTTCTGAAAATAAGATTTCTAGTTTCATGAGTCTTAATTTATCCCATAAATAAGATAGTCCTAGATAGAACTGGGTTTATCGTGTGATTTATTCTGTTTTACAGGTAAGTTAAGTGAGAAATTAATGTGAGAGTAGCAGATAAAGAGTAAGCTCAAGGACCCAACTAGACATGCTATTTTGCATTTTTTTAACATAAGCATGCAGATTCTGACAAATATGTACATATTTAGTTTCAGAATGGCTTCGGTTATTGCCTTTCCTTGGTGTACTTGCACTACTTGGCTACCTTGCAGTCCGTCCATTCTTCCCGAAGAAAAAACAACAGAAGGATAGCTTGATAAATCTTAAAATACAAAAGGAAAACCCTAAAGTGGTGAATGAAATAAACATTGAAGATTTGTGTCTTACTAAAGCAGCTTATTGTAGGTGTTGGCGTTCAAAGACGGTAAGATGTCTGTTTACCTGTACAATGAACTTTTGTGGAGTTAAGAATTGTTTTGTTTCTTAAGTACCAGTTTTGAGGTTCTGTGAGAGATTTTTTCCCTTAGTAGTCTTCAATTAAAAGTCTATATTCCTCAATTGAAATTTGCTTTTTCTGATTGATACTACTTACATTAGAAAAGTTAGAACAATAAATAAAGATAGAAATCTGATGTTTTCCCAATGCTCATCACTGTCTAGAGGAACATATGTTTTAAAATACACTTAATTTTTGAGAGAGGATATAGGTTTAGTAAAAAGAGCTTAAGCATTGAAGTCAGAATAGTGTATAATCTAATGCCTGTCACTTGGGCAAGTTAGGCAAGTTGTCAACTTTGGGCAAGTTACTTTTTTTTGGTTCTGAGGTTTGATCCCTGTGGTATTTACCACTGAGCTACATCCTCAGCCTGTATTTTTTATTTTGAGATAGGGTCCACTAAATTGCCTAGACTGGCCTTGACTTGCTATTGATTTGTCTCAGCCTCTGGAGTTGCTGAGATTATAGGCATGTGCCACTATGCCCAGCTGTAAATTACTTCATTTTTAATCTCTAATTTTCAGCAGTCAAAAAAACAAAACAAAAACTGTTACTATATCAACTTTGCAGATATTTTTGAGAAATTAGTAAAATTATATTTATAAATTGTCCTACTTAAGATGAGCTAGTAAATGGTAGCTATAATTACTGATGATTTTTATTAAAAGGAGGAGTTTGGAGTAGTGAGTATTATAAGTAGTTAATGAAATCTGTTTTCTTTGATCATAGGTTATTTAAGATTTTAAGTACAATTGTTCATCACAGCATGTTTTATAATAAAATTTAGAAACTATCTGATGATAGAACAATTAAAGTACAGCATAATACAAATGATAGAAAATTAGGACTCTTTTATAAATCATGTTTTTAAGGAATATTTAGTGATGTGAGATCCTGATTTAATACAAGATAGAAAAGCATATTATAGAATGATCCTAGTTTTTAAAAATGTGAATACACAGTAAATGCACAAAATGTTACATAAATCTGATTTGTTACACAAATCTGATAGATTATGAGTGAAATTTTTTTCATTAAATTTTTTTCAAAAATCCCATGGTATACATAATCTTTATGGTAAAAAAACAGTATAGAATAATTTAAGAGATGAGCTCAAATTTAGTGTTTCATAGAGAATAAGAATTTATCGTTGATTGCGTTTTAAACCTTATATGGAATCATCCAGATTTTTATTTAAAATCTAAACCAAATGAGTTAGTTATTTAGATTGTTAGATTTGCTGTGGGTATCAGAATGCGGTCAGAATGTATCTATTATTCAGAAAATCTATCTGATGAAATTTCTTTTTTTTTTAAGCAAGGATATGCTTTCTTTTTTTTTTTTTCTTTAAGGATGGGTGCCCCAACCTATGCTCTTTATTTATTTATTTTTTCAAGAGAGAGAGAGAGAGAGAGAAGATACCGAGAGAGAATTTTTTTAATATTTATTTTTCAGTTTTCGGTGGACACAATATCATTATTTTATTTTTATGTGGTGCTGAGGATTGAACCCAGTGCCCCGTGCATGCCAGGCGAGCGTGTTACCGCTTGAGCCACATCCCCAGCCCCAGGATATGCTTTCTTTATGATAGCATATCACAGATATTTATGAGAGCACATTTCACAAATATTTCTACTTAATCATATTTTTAAAATAACACTAATTCTTTTTTTTTTTTTTCCTTTTAGTTTCCTGCCTGTGATGGTTCCCACAATAAACATAATGAATTGACAGGAGATAATGTGGGTCCACTCATACTGAAGAAGAAAGAAGTGTAATAGTAATGATTTAGGATTGGTCAATTGTGTGCTGTAAAATCTTCCAACAACATTTTCTCATTCTTTGTGTATAGAAAATCTTTGAAATGGTGGTTTTAATTATTACTACTGGCTGAATAATTATTTCTGCCAATTTATTTTCTTGCTACACTACTGTTTGTATTTGATACTTAGTATATTCAAAGTCATTTATGTAGAAGTTATTTGTCAAGCCTTATTCTGACTTCAAAGATTTAATGTATATTTCGGCAATAAAATCCATACTTCTGGTTTTAATTAATTTAGAAATTAAAATTTTGGCAATGTGTCCAACACTGTTTCTTTTGATAATTAATAATTCAACAGAATCCGTACTTTAAAATTTCCCTACACTGTTAAATATATTATTTTTTATATTGCTTTGTTTTGATCCTTTGAAATGATTTTATCTTCCTTTGGCCTTCACACTCTGATTTTTTAGGTGAATTAAGAAAAATATTACCATCAAGAATTACTTAAGGTTACAGAGATAAGCTTTTTTGCTTTATAGAAATTGTTGTTTCATTAATATAAATACCCCAATTTCAAAAAAGAAGTAAACTGGATATAAAAAGTTCCAATGAGGAATAGTTATTTACATTATAAAAGATTTGTTTACTTTACAAAAGGCACGTTGTGTGTGTATGTATTGTGTGTCTGTCTGAGCTAGTGACAGCTGGGGGTAGGGTGGCAAGAACATTTAATATCTAAATGTACCTGCTGCTGCAATTTGAGGTCAGTTAGAAATAAAAGCATATCTGAATTCAGATTAAAATGTTAAATAGTTCAAAGTTACATTTACATGAACATTTTTCTCTTAATAGTATAAATCATTAAAACAAAACGTTAAAATATTTTCAAAATAAATTTAATGAACAATCTTCAAAATATTTACAAATATTTTCTTTTTAACATACACTGAGCCACATCCCCAGCCCTTTTTTGTATTTTATTTAGAGACAGGGTCTCACTGAGTTTCTCAGCGTCTCGCTAAATTGCCGAGGCTGGCTTTGAACTAGAGATCCTCTCGCCTCAGCCTCCCAATCTGCCAGGATTACAGGCAGTACCACCATGTACAGTACAGTTCTTATAATAATAGCTGCTTAAGTTAGGCTTTTTCTTTTCTTTTTGGTATTGGGAGTTGAACTTAGGGGTGCTTTACCGTTGAGCTACATCCCCAGCCCTTTTCATTTTTATTTTGAGAAAGGTCTCACTAAGTTGCTTACCGCCTTGCTGTGTTACTGAGGCTGGCTTCAGACTTGTGATCCTTCTGCCTCAGCCTCCCAAGTAGTTAGGATTATAGGCGTATGTCTGTTTATTAAAGGTACAATCCATTCAGTTCACTGTTTTCTTTTTTATATGTAGAGGTGCCAGGAGTCAGGCATTTAATTCTTCCAGTAATAAAGCTAATAATTATTGAGCATTTATATGTATCTGGCACTTCACTAACATGGTAGTTGGATTTTGAATTTATTACATGTAATGTCAATAGGCTGTACTGCCTGATCTTAACTTTCTTGTGATTAATAGCAAAAATTTTAGTTAGAAATCTAGTCTGTAGTTTCTAAGAAGTCCAAAATTATTGTTCTTTCCTCTTCCCATTTATCAGTGAAGGAAAAATACAACATTGCTCTCACTTCTTTTTTTTTTTTTTCCTGTGACTTTTATTCAGTACCCTTAAGGGCTTCACTGTCAGGAGTAACCAATTATTTTTTTCTACGGTTGGTTCCAAGACTTGGAGAAAGTCCTCCTTACCAAAAGTTTATATATTCTTGTCTGTGTGTTTGTGGTCATGAAATGTTGGTTTTTTTTTTTTTTTTGTAAAACCATTCACTGTAACTCAGCAACATGTCTCTAAACATGTTCTAGTGTTTTCCATACTTAGATTTCACAGAAGATAATTTTTTTGAAAATATGTAGTCTAAAATGAAATTGTCAACTTTTCATTTTGTCAAATAAATAAGAGCACTTAAAATATTGAAAGTGAATTCTGTCATAGAAAGGTAATTCTAATGCACAAAAAGTAAAATGGTTAAACTATCACAATAAAGGGTTTCTTCCCCTCCACATTTTCCATTTTAAAAATATGTTTAAAGAGCTATGCCAAATATTTTCCTGCCTGTGCATATTTTTCAGAAGCCTGAACTGGTAGCAAGCTGTTATTTTAATAATTCTTTTACATAAGTAGTATTGTCAGTTGCCACCACTTCCCAGAATACTGTTATGAGTATCTTAAGAAACAGACATTAAATGCCTCTGAATTGATACAATAAAAGTAACTTAGCTCTTGAAATACATGTTTCTAGAGCCTTCAGGAAACGCACTGTCTCAAGATTGTTTTGAGAGCTGCCTTTCCTGCTTACCTAGGGAGCTACTCATGCCTTACTCAGTTAATGGGCACCATCATTACATAAACATCAGGTATCCAGAAGGGTTAGCAGGCTTGAGGTATTAATGATTCATTCATGTGGATAATTAAGCAAGTTGTATATGTCAGGCACATTACAATTCAGCCTTGACTTCAGTGCTTCATATGATTCATGAAGTACTTTTGTATTTTGTAACCAAATTTGTAATAAGTTTATGGGAAGCCAATTAAGCCAACTGCTGATCTATCTATTTCTGCCTTCCCCACTGTGAATCCCACAGTCTTTCATTAGAAATGTGCTGTCAGACACTCTTCCTGTCCAGAGAGTTTCAAAACTCCACTGTTTAACAGGGTTCTTCATCTAACAATTGCACTATTGTTATTTAGGGCAATATGACCAATCTGGGGAAGACGAAGTAAGATATTACTAACGTTTGCACTAGGGGAGCTCCTTAGCTCCCCATCTTCATAGTCTACATATTCTTATTTCATATCCAGTTCTAACACATTTGGTTTCTGGCAAATTTGGTTTCTCCTGAGCAGATCACAAGTACAGATAATATTTTACTAGAAGCAGGTAAACAAGCAGATGTGACAGTTGAAAACAGGAGAGATGACCAAAAGATAAAGTTAAAAC